CATTTTTTAGGGTAAAGTGAAAATGAGTATTGAAAAAAAGCATGTCGACTTAAAGAAAATTATTAAAGATGTAATACTATAAGGCATGGTAAACATTGCAAAGATGACGAAAGTTTAGGACTCTGCTCTAGATCCTCCTTCCCTTATCTGCCCAGGATTCCCACACTCCATTCCAGAAGCTCAGTGGAACAAAGGAAATCTTTTACATAAACTTTTGTCATTTATCCTGAGCTTGGGAATCGTGCTTTTTTTTTTTTTTTTTTTTTTTTTTTGCTTTTCTTCTTTTAACTTCATGGGTTTCATGTATTTCCTAAACAACAACAACAACAAAAAATCTACTATCCTCTCAGGTCAATTAGCTCAAAGCAGCTAATTTAAAACTTTTTTAAAGCTTTTTTTGTTTTCCATGAGCAGGAGAAAAAGAGACAGCACCCTCAACAGGGTCTTGACTCCACAATCCAGCCCCAGCTATAGCCAGCCCCATGTCATGGGCATGCACATGTCTAGTGTACTCAGGGAAGTCTCTGGACTTGAATCTGGAACCTTGCCATGTGGGTCAGCCTCATAGAGTATCGCGTTTTTACCACTTTGCCACCATCTGGCCCTCTGGCCTTAAGTTGGAAAAATATACTCGTTGGTCACCAATAGTGCAATGGTTAAGCATTTTGCTTGAGGAATCAGGCACCATATGGCTGACCATGGTTTGAATCCCAACTCTAGTGAGTTGAAAGATGTGCTGGGTACATCTATGTGCATTCCTGACAGGATGGAGAAATGGGAGAAAAAGGGTTACAGTGTGACCATGCCCCATTAAGGGTGCTTTCCTCCCACTCAGACACAAATAAAATGTGTGCCCTCTGGCAATAATAAAAACAAAAAGATTCTGTTATTTCTTCATTTCTGTATTTGTTTTTCTTTATTCAGAATAGAGCACATGTACGTGAGAGAAAGTAGAACACCCTCCACAGGATCTGGACGTGCCAAGATACCTCTCCCCCACTGAATTAAATCTAATCTTGTTTAGAACTAAGTAAAATAATTAAGCATCAGTGCCGGCAGGTGACATGGTGGTTAAGGGCACTGGAATCCCGACCATGGTTCAGTCCTGGACCTGGTGGCTTGCTTTGTCACTCTCTCTCTCTGTCCCTCTCTGGTCACATTTAAATATGTAAATAGACAACCAAATTTAAATAAAACAATTCTTAAAAAATACTAATTATGCATAATTTTACTTAATAATAGACATTGAGGGGGGAGATAGTCAGTGGCATAGTGGTTAAGATGCTAGACTCCCCCTTGGCTGACCGCAGTTGGAGTCCTGGACCCAGCAGCTTGAAACTCACACCAGGCTTGTGTGTGTGCATGCCAAAGAATGCATGCATTTGCCAGAAGGATAGAGAGAGACAGAAATAGAGAAGGAATAGGAGAAAGCACCCTGGGAGTGGTCACACTGCAATCTTTTTTCTTCCATTTATCCATCCTTTCCAGATTTGGGGCACTGGTACACAAATGGCCAACATGTTTTTAAAACTACCAAGCTGTGATTTAACCCACAGTTGGCCATGTAGGCTCCAGTTCCTTTAACCACTAGGCTATGGGGCTGGCATAGATTTTAAAAATTCTTGAGAAACTTTAAATGAAGTTTATCAGCCTAAGAACAGAAATTTAAAAGTTCATTTTTATGTCATTGATACACAAATACGTATGCATTGAGCGGTGCTACTGGGGCGTGTAGACTGCTTTATTTCCTCTCCATGTTCTAAACTTTATGGGTGTACATCCAAAAGCTTTAGCAATGTAAATGGTATTTTAGTAAAAAATATGTATTTATATGTTGAGCCTCTGCTATGAGAAAAACACAGCTGTCATTGTCACATGCTCCTTTTAACCTAACTCTTGTCCCTGCAGTTTAGGTATATTTACTACCAATCCCTTGTTATACTGTAAATTTTTTAGGTAAGATAAGCAAATGGTTAACTCTTTATAAAACTAAGGGAACCTTTGTGTTAGAATTAAATGAGTTTAAATTAAATAAATTAATTAGCTACTAATGTCTTGTCTATGAACTCCTCCTAGCCTCATACTTAATATCACTCAGAGGAAATAAAACCATTCACTCAGTCCTCTCAGAACTCTTCTTTGTGCCTTTCTTCTGCATGTTAACTCCTAGTAGATTCCTTTTCCACACTTGAAGAAATTTTTAGTAGAATTGTAGGTGGTATAGGAGTTTTGAAGGATCTTGAAGAAATCAAGGCTGATTTCGCTAATTATGTAACCAGTCTATTTAGTATAGTGTGAGATTGGTTGAGGAGTAGCAAGAGAAAGGAGATATTTTAAGGTACAAATTTCTTTCTCTCATTGGTCTGATCATTAGTAATTCATGTTGTTACCCTTGTCATTCCTCACCAATCTTTCTCTGTCTCAGTTCTCATTTCCTGGAGAAGGCAAGCATACTTGTTAATAATTAGGGAGTAGAAAGCTTATCTGGGGAGCAGGCCTTAGCAGTGGTTAGGCCTGTGCATTAGGAGCTGAATCCCACATGGCTGACCACAGTTTGAATCCTGGGCTTGGTGACGGAAAACATGCCAAGTATGTGTGCCCCAAATCCCAACAGGTTGGAGAAATATAAGGAAAAGGATTGTGATGGAAGATTGTCTTTTGATGATAATGTGTATGATAATATCTTTTACTGAACTAGTGTGTAGTATATTTATGCCAGGAAAATTCATTTCACAAGCTGTGGTGATATACAGTGATTATATAAAAGAAAAGAAAAAAAGAAAGAAAAGGATGTTGGACAACCACACCTCACTGGGGTGAGGAGGTATCTGTCTGTCTCTCTGTGTCTCTATTTCTCTGGAGAGTGCACATGCCCTCTGGCAATTGAAAAAAAAAAAAACTTATCTGGTTTCCCCAGGCACAGAGGTTTAATGACCAAGAAACATAATTTAGGGACCAACAGATGACATAATGGTTACATCGCATGACTCCCATAGAGTCAACCAGTGGTTCAAGTCCCAGACCAGGTGGCTTAAAACTCACACCGGGCGCGTGTGTGCGTATACCCAAAGTCCCAAGAGAAGAATGGAGGAGAAGGAATTGCAGCATGGCCATTCCCCCTGGCAGGTGATTTTTCGCTTTCTGTCTCTCCGGCAAGTACACATGCCCTATGGCAAAAATCTCTCAAACGCCCTAGAGAAAAAATCTCAAAAAAAAAAAAAAAAAAAAAAAAGAAAAGAAACATAATTTGAAACCACCATTTGACAAAGCTACTTTGAAGGATATAATCAAGACTTTCTGAAAATAGTAGTAAGTAACAAATAGTATTACACGTTTTATATTTGAAATTGAAATAAGCACTGATCATTTTATTATTGAGAAATGTGAGCAATAATCATGCTTATCCCATCTTTGATCTCTCTCCACCTTTTTCTTTACTGTTTCCTTCACTTTCATTAGTCTGCATTGCTGCCACCCCACTCCAAATGTCAGTTTCTTACTGGAAGCACTGTACCTGAGGCTCACCAGTTTTTGTCCCTTTTCCTTTAGATTACCTTGGGGAGTAGCGACTCAGATTGGCCACAAAATCCAATCCATGGTTTGGTTCCCTTGGTTTGGTCCTCCAGTTTACTGTAAGGATGTGGTGGCAGCAGGGTCATGTGATCCATAACATACTTAGTAAGGGTCATGCATAATCAGTTCTTCTGGACACTTTAAGCAGTCATTGGTACCACTAATACAAACACTCGTAACTTTGAAGGAGTTGAACACTCTCTTAATTATTAAAATGTTTTTTTATTGGCCATAAGTGCCCTATAGGATTAATTTTTGTTCATTCTCCATTTAAAGAATCTAGATTCATTTTACAAAAATTTTTTTTCAAAGAGAAATTTTTGCTATAGTGTGCTCACTGGAGAGAGAGGCAGAGATGAGAGACAGAAAGTGAGAAGTACCCCCCCCCCCTCGGGAGATGGCCACACCACAGTCCCTTCTCTTCCAACCTCTTGGGATTTTAGGCATCCACACACATGCACCCGGTGTGTTTTAAGTCACTGAGTCCAGGATGTGAACCACGGTCAACTATGCGGGAATCCAGCGACGTAACTATTAGGCCATCTGCTGGTCTTACCAAAATTAGTTTTGTATACTGCGGCAGAAAAGTTAAAAATTTTGCAATGACTTAGAAGTTGCTTTTTCTTTTCTTTCTTTTTTATTTTATTTTATTTTATTTTTTTGAGAGGTTTTTCTTTTTCGCTATAGGGCGTGTGTGCTCACCAGACAGACAGAGAGAGACATAGAGACAGAAAGCGAGAAATCACCCCCCAGCGGGGATGGCCACGCCGAAATCCCTTCTCCTCCATTCTCCTCTCGGGATCCTGGGCACGCACGCACACACGCCCTGCGTGAGTTTTAAGCCACCGGGTCCCGTACGTGAACCGCGGTCGACTACGTGGGAGTCCAGTGACATAGCCATTACACTAACTGCTGGTTCCCAGAAGTTGCTTTTTCTAACACCCCTGATTCTAAATGGAATGTATTCTTTTTCCTGTTACTCTAATAATTAATTTATCATAAGAAGGGGTTAGAGAGGTTTTCAAAAATTTTGCAGAAAATGTATATTATGAAAAAATTAGGCATGGATTTCAAAATTTTTTTGCACCCAAATAACTTTGTATTTTAGTTCCATGAACTTTTTGAAGTCCCTTTATGTGAGAAGATGTACAGTATCAAAAATGATTTTGCTTGTAATTACTACTGTATCAGAGGTTCATTAAAAATGTATTAATCACAGACCAGCAGGTGGCGTGGTAGTTAAGGTGCTGGATTTCCACATGGCCAACTGTGATTCAGTCCTGGACCTGATGCTTTGCTTCCTCACATTTCCTCTCTCTCCCTTTTTCTCTCTTCATCTCTCTCTGGTCAAATTAAAAGAATAATAATAATAAATAAAAGTAGACAAATAAGTCTTTAAAAATATATTAATCACTTTTGTCTTACAGGACAAATTATTCGAGAGAAAAGAAGTGTAGAAGCAGCAAATAAAAAAGAAATAGACTATGAAGTAGGAAATATCCCACCAGAATGGGAAGGTAGGTTTCTGCTTTTAGTAGAATCTCTTGGGGAGGAGGGCAAGTGGTTTAATGATATACAAAATTGTTAAAATCATATAGAGTTATTACCTGTATTTACTCTTTGCAAAAACTTTTACACTGTAAATCTGTGAAACTTTTTTTTTTTTAACATTACATTTCTTTGCAAGTTTTGAACTTGCCAAAGTTTATTAAGGGAATGCATGTATAACAAAAGGAACTATGAAGCCTTAGCAGAACTGGGATGATGGTGAGGGAAGTAAACCTCCTGAGGTGCAGAATTTAAGGAAGTATTCATTCCTGTGTATGCAGCTTGTTCTTATACAACCCGGGATTTGAATCCTGTTTCTGGCACTCACTACCTTCATCAACTGGGGAACTGAACTCATGCTTTTCAGTCTTAGTTTTCTCTTTTATAAATTGTGGACAGTACTTGATGTAGCTATTATTTGGAATATTTGTTCAACCCATGAAGACCATCTTAACTGAACTCCTGTTTTGACAAGGCTAGACCCTTGATCCCTATCTTAAGACTTTGAAATTAAGATAAAAGATCAAAAGGGGGTAAAACAGTGTGGCTGGAACAGTTCATAGGAACTTGTTAGCTTGTGAGTGGCATCTTCCGTCCACCATCAAAGTTTAATTGCAGAAAAAAAACTGATGTATACTGATAAGAAAATGAAACTACATTGCAAAGAAAAGTACATGGAGAAACAGATTATTTCCTAGATTTCTAGCAACTTTTCAGGTCCCAATTCAATTTATCTCTGAATGAAGTTCACCTGCAAGTCTGAACTTTGAGTGGCATTCCATACTCTTGCTATAAATTTCCCTATTTGTTACAGTTCTAGCACAGTGCCTGGCACATAGTGCAATAAAAAGTAAATGCTGAATACATACTTATCAAATCCATGAAACTCAGCTTGTTATCTTTTGCTATTTTTAACTAGAAGAACTTTAACTGAAGCATCAATATGTGTCATATATATTACTTAACAGTTATCAAATGTTCACTCAGGTGCTTGTACTATGCCATTACTTTCCAGTCCTAATCTTGTTCAGTCATCACAACAGTCCTGTAAAGAAGATATTGTAGTTAGACCCATGTAATAGAGCATCTAAGACCAAAAGGGTAAGGTAAATTCTCTGGGTTGTACATCTGTATATGTGACTAAGCAGTAGACCTATTGTTTCCTGTGAGCATAGCACCATACCTTACGTGTGTAGCTGTAGGCATTGTGTTACTTTTATGTATGTGAGTATAAATATCATTTCAGTGAAAATACCTCTTCCATTCCTAACTTACTAGCTATGAAAATAATAGAACTTTAAGAAAAGAACATAAAAACGGGCAGATGCCAGAGGTTTTTTTTGAAGAAATACAAAATATAAATTGGCAACTTCTGGAAGGAGTAATTGAGCTTTCTTATTTTAACAGACTTTCCAGTGTTATAAGCTACATTTGCACTTCTTGAATACTTGCGCCTTCTTATAATGAGCCTATTTTATCATTTTTTCCAATAATAGTATAGAATTAAAATGTTTATGAAAATAAATTAAGTTATAAATAAACAAATAGGTAATGGCCCATTTTTCAGCCTTTGAGACTTTCAGAGAATTAGAATGAAGTTCTAATGCTTTTTATGGCTCTGTCCCCATCTAGTAATTCAGCATAACTATCCCGTGGGGCATACCCTTAAAACAAATGTATCAACCAAATACTGAAATGAAAATTATTTTTACAGTGGTAGCGCATCAATTAAACGTAAAAAATAATAACCCTAACACCATGAAAAGGTAAATTAAAATATAAATAAACACACACACAGACACGCATAAACACACACAAATGCTATATACAGGAAAGAAAAAAGTAAATGATATCAACACCGAATTAATTTAAAATACTTTCAGGTCCAGATAAATATTACATTTGTCAATGATAAATAACAGAATGCAGGTAGCTACAAGTTGTTTATTCTCCCACAATACAGATTAGATAGTGTGCCGTTTGCATTCATTTATTTAGTAGGGATCTATAGAAGACCTCTTGATTTATGGCTCTTCCATTCTGGGGTGGGAAAATGGGTGGGGAAAAAGAGAATAAACCAGATAACAAAATAACTAAACTGTATAGAATATTGATGGCCATAGGAAACAAAGCAGGGAAAAGGCCTAGGGAATGTTGGGATGGTTTTTCAGTTTTAGATAGTGTTCAGAAAAGACCTTTCTGAGAAGATGACTTTTGGGGACCAGCAGTTAGCGTAATGGCTATGTTGCTGGACTCCCACGTAGTCGACCGTGGTTCGAGTCCTGAACCCGGTGGCTTAAACTCATGTCGGGCGCGTGTGCATGCGTGCCCAAGATCCCGAGAGGAGAATGGAGGAGAAGGGATTGCGGCGTGGCCATCCCCCCTGGGGGGTGATTTCTCACTTTCTATCTCTCTGTCTCTCTCTCTCTGTCTGGCGAGCACACGTGCCCTATAGCAAAAAACCTCTTCAAAAAATAAATAAATAAAAGGAAGATGACTTTTGTATAAAGACAGGAAGGAGTGACCATACGGACAAAGAGCAGAGGGTGGAGCATTGCCAGAAAGCAAGTGCAAAAGTGCTGAGGCAGGAACGATTTCAGATATTTAAAGAACTCCGAAGAAGACAAGGGTTTTGTGATAGAGCCAGAAGGAAAATAATAGGCGATAAGGTTAGAGTATTAACAAATGGACAATCTTGTGGGACCTTTAGGCCAGTGTAAGGACTTTGACCTCTAAGAGATTGGAAGCCATTGGAGGGTTCTGAAAATTCTGGTTATATGTTCTGAGTTAAATTTAACAGGATCACTTTGCTGCATTGTAAAGAGATCGAGGCAAAGCATGGAGACTGAAGGCTCCTACAATGATTTGAGCAAGGCGTAATTGTGATTTGGACCAGAGTAACGTGGGTATGGAAAGGAGTTGTATTGTGAATCTGCTGTAAAAGTATAGCCGGCAGGTTTTGCCAACATAATAGATGTGGAGTCTGAAAGAATGGGAACAATGATGACTTTTAAGATTTTTGGCCTCACTTGGAAAAAGTGTTCCCACCTGAGATGGGCAAGACAGTGGGAGAAGCAAGTTAGAAGGGAAACGATATCAATTTTGGGCATGTTAAATTTGAGGTTCTTATTGGGCATCTACATGGAGATGCTAGCTTGTATACGAGCCAAGAATTTAGTGGAAATATCTGGGCTGGAGATAAAATTTAGGGATTGCCAGGAAATAAATGGCATATGAAGGCATGAGACTGGATACCACAAGATAATGAGTGTAAGTGGAAAACGAGAAGCTAAGGCTCAGCTCAGTGGCATGCACTGCCGACACACTGTGCTCTGCAGGATGTGACCACATGGGAGGCCTGGTGCATTCCTGGTTCAACATGTGGGTGTGCACCTGTGGTCCCAGCTGGGAGGCTAAGCAAGAAAACACAAAAAGTTCAAAGACTGACTCCTAGTCTACTCCGAGGGTTAGAGATAAAGAGACAAAAAGAAACAATCAAAAGAGTATTATAAAAGGAGAAATATCTACTGGGAGCTAGATATCAAGGAGGAAGAACTAATCAATACATTAAATGAAGACTGAAATTTAATGATTTACTTTGAGAAAAGAGAAGTCATTGGTAGTCCTGAGAAGAACAGTTCAATAGATAGTAAAAAGTTTGATAGAGGGGCTGGCGGGTGGCATGGTGGTTAAGGACGCTGGACTCCCACATGACTGACCACGGTTCAAGTCCCAAACCTGGCAGTTTGCTTTCTCACTGTCTCTCTCCCTCCCTCCCTCTTCCCCGCCCCCACTTTGTCCCTCTCTGGTCAAGTTAAAGTTAATTAATTAATTAATTCTTTAAAAAAAATCTTGATAGAAAAAAAGAATTTTAAGAGAGAAGTTGGAGAGAATAGGCATAGGCAATATTTATGTGGAGTTTATCTGTAAAGAAAAGGTGATTATGACAAGTATAGTACCTGGAGAGAAAAGTGAAGGCAACAGATGAATTTTGTTTTGTAGATAGACTGTTTTTTTTTTTTTTAGGTTTTTGCCATAGCATGCACACTCTTGTTGGAGAGAGACAGAGGAAAGTGAGAAATCACCCCCCCTTACAGGGGGAATGAGAAATAATAAAATTTTCTTCCTAAATTTTATTATTTAAATTTATTTTATAGGGGCCAGCAATTGGCATAATGGCTATTCACTGGACTTCCATATAGTCGACCACGGGTCGAATCTCGGACCCGGAGGCTTAAACTCACACCAGGCGCATGTGCGTGCATGCTCAAGATACCAAGAGGAAAGTGGAGGAAAAGGGATTGTGGCATAACCATCCCCCCTTGGGGGGGGTGATTTCTCTCTTTCTGTCTCTCTATCTCTCTCTTTCTGGTGAGTGCACGCACCCTTTAGCAAAAACCTCTCAAAAAATTTATTTCATACATTTTATACATTCAATCACTGTATATCACTGCAACTTGTAAAATGAATTTATCCGACATTAATACACTTCACACCAGTCCAGTTGAAGATATCATGGTTATCATCAACGGATAATCCTCCATTTCTGTATTCCTGAAATGTCTTTCTTCTTGATTCTTTTCCTCTCATTCTCTCCCATCTACCACCCCCTCTCCATGTACAATCAGAAAGGAAACATTTGTGATTCAGGAAGGAGAAAGTCCTTGAGGAGACAAGGTGGATCCAGTACACAGGTGAAAGAGCTGGCCTTTGATAAGTGCGGGAATCATCAATGGTAATAGCAGAAATGCAGAGTATATGAGCACAGATGCAAGGAGCTGAGTAGGGGTGGCAGTGAGAACTTGTGGACATTCTCTTCTGATTCTTCTTAGTAGTATGGAGTGGTTAAATAACTTCCTAAGTCCAAAAGCAGCAAGAGCCCAAATTTTAACCCAAATTATCTATCGTTGTAATATTTTCTCTCAATATTGTATTATCCTGCCTACTTCATTAATTATGTGGCTGTCTC